TATGGGTACCCAATGCAGTACCTACATTAGTATAATTACTAAGAATTTTCGAAGTACCCATATCGGGTACCTTGCTGAGGCTTTCTCAGTACATGGGTACCTTGAACTCAGTACTTTCTCTAGGGTATACTGTATCACACAATACACTGGGTTTTTATAAGTGACACGCTAGGAAGGGATTTTTACCAAGTATACTGATTTTCGTTGAGGATCTGATAGAAAAGGTCACTATTTCTACTGTATCTTGGTTAGACAGAGCTAAATTTTTGGCTGAAAACCCCAGCTGCGAACTCGGTGCACGATTTTTTTCATGCATATCACCGGAAAAAAATAAAGTTGGTTTTGAGTTGCTGAAAAGTGTTTTTTCGTGTTCAGCACACTCGACAACCCGAAAGATTTTCTATTTTTGGCGAGGGGTACTTTCAAAAGTTTACGAAAAATTTTCAAACTAATATTACTTTCCCATTGGAATTTTTCTGCGCCATTTTGTTTCAAAATTTTTCCTAAGCTTTTGAAAGTACCCCTCGCTGAAAATAGAAAATCTTTCGGGTTGTCGAGTGTGGTGAACACGAAAAAACACTTTTCAGCAACTCAAAACCAACTTTATTTTTTTGGTTTCGGTGATACGTCTTTTTTGTAGTAGCGACCGGTTTTAGACTCACGGAACCCTTTATCATTTTTGTCCTATTCTCATCACAATCTAGCGAAGTTTTTATTTCATCAATTGAGGAAAGTAGCACGAAAAAATCGTTTTTCCAACGTGTATATCCTTAAATTACCCGTTTTCTAAATTCGTTTGTCAGCTATAGTGTTTTCAGCTCCAAATGATAACAAAAAGAACTATATCCAAATTTTAATAAATCGATCTGTTTTTTCTCTCTTTTTAACTGATCGGTCCATTTGAGATTACGTCAATCGATTCTGACTATGATGCATAATCATAATTGCAACGGCGTTTATCTGTGCTCGATGTTCGAGACTACAATCCCTACTCTCAATCTTTATTCTAGAGCACGCCAAACACATAAAATCTTAATAAATGTATTGTTTGTGCCATTGAAGTAAAATGTCTGAAAATGTTTTCTATATCTTACAGTAAAAATTGTATATTTTGACCAAATGGTTGCTACAGTTCTAGTAAGGTTTCAAAACTGAAAATTACATTGCACATATTTGACTCTCGTAAAGATATTGGAGTGAGAGCAACTAGGTTTCTTCCATTTGTTATGTTTTCTGTATTTGACGATTTATGTTATCAGTATGTTCGTGTTTTCTCTGATTTAACACGTCTTTTTCATGTATCTACTAGAAGTAATTTGTTATTATTTCTTGTTAAAACGACGATAATGATAATTGGGTTTTTTTGTTTTATTTCCTGACATACAACATTATAGGCACTTCTACATCCTGCTATTATTAGTAATTTTATTTCTGTAATGTAAAACCGTTTTTCTCCAATTTTTATAGATTAAAACACAACCAATCTGCCGTTTTCTCTTGTTTTTTCTTCTCTTTATGATGATGATTAGACTTCTAGTTAGTTCGTTAAACATATATCTAGTCTAGATAGATGATACATACTGCTTCATCTATTATCATCGTTTTCTATCGGCAATAATTAGTTGGTGGTAGTCTATATAAGAATAGATAAAAAGTAATGCCTCATGAGACGAAAAGCACGTAAATAAAAGAAAAAAGGAAATTGGAATTAACACAATACAATATAATAATACTCTATGAAAAAAATGTTTTTATTCAATGAGGATATAGACAGTTATATTTTGAATAAAGAATTGGAAAAGTCAAGTAACAGAAAATATCGTCGACTAGATCAAAAAGTGAGTACTTTTGAAATATTAATTTAAATTTGATATTTATCATGTAACAGAATGATATCTCAATACCTAATTATAGCTAAAATATATCTTATGATTTAGTATTCATTTTTATTTTCTTATTGATCCGACAAATTGAATAATAACGCTGTTTCTGTTTTTTATTTGCTAAAAAATTCATATTACTATTATAGCTAAATACTCCTCAAATACTAGATAATGATATATTTATCTCCAGTCTATGAAGCATGGCTATCCTAGTACAAAATTAGTTATCAGTTTCTCGAAAAAAACAAGTTTCAATAAATAGTACGTCGGGTCCGATGATACTTTTGGGTAGATAAGTTGTTTCTGTTCACCATAATTATCCTAAATTTGCCATTTTAATATGATTCGAATACAGGTCTACGCAGACAAATTTTGCTAATTTCACTAATCTAATTTATATAGGTTTTGAATTTTTTTGGTTGTCGAAGTTCAATTAAAATTGAAAGAAGGAAAGTAGAACAGTTCATTTCAGTAGCCCGATGTCTTTCTTGCATCTGACATGACACTTACTAGTCATTAACCACAACTTTATCCAGACAGACTATAGTCTGATGTCGAGTTCTTTTTCGTTCAATTGTCTCAGCTCCTCACATACACTGACTGTCCGTCCACATAATGACTCATTCAGGAAAGGCACGGAGACTAGATGATCTGAGGTACTACGACATGAAAAACTTGTCGGTGGTTATTATGCGAGTTGACCGCACTGAAGTTCGAACATAACACTTATAAAGCACGAGTTGAACGATATAACCACGAAGCCACACTGGTTATGAAAAATTGATAGCTGTACGTGTGTGTGGCTGCCTAACGCAAGGCTCTTCAGTTGGAATAGTCAACATATCCTGTTTTTAATTTCTCAATTTTTATCCTTTTTAATTACTTTTAAAAAAAAAAAAATTAAATAAGAAAAAGAAATCAAGCAAACTTTTTTTAATACTTATGATTTATTCTCAACAAAAGCTATATGATCAATATGGTAATGGAAAACGAGAGATTATTGTGTTGATTGAATCACTTGAATAAAATGTCAAAGAATTTAATTCTATCGATTAAGTGCCATTCTGTAGTAAATATAATTAAAAAAAAATTTTCTTCTCTTTCTCCCTTCATTCTCAAGTTTTGATGAACGAGATTCTATGAAACAGATGGAGAGCTAGAGAGAGAGAGAGAGACAGAGAAAGACTTACTCTTCATTGTAATAATAGGCATCCATTGTAGAGAACTGCGAGATATCCCGATCTCACGGGATCGTAATCGGGACAATAAAAAAAAACAAAAATTTACGGAAAACTGCATTTAAAAGAATCTTTTTTGTGTGGTCGAACCTCTTTCTGTCGAAAACTTATGTTATTTTTTGAAAAATTTGTTAAAATACTCCTCTATACGTTGTCGTACGTGAGCAGATAGATAAAAGCATACTATACGTTCACTATGGATATAGTCTATTAAAAAACAATTGACTTTTTTGTTGTTACATTTAGATATATATATATATATATATATATAGGCACTTATTTTAATTAAACATTGAGCAGAGAAAAGAACACACACACGCATACATTTGTAATTTTACAAATAACATCCTCCGTTTTTCTTTCTTTTTTTAATCAAATTTATTTTCTTCTCAACGAGAGATTGAAAAATTCATCATGAGAAGAAAGAATAAAAAGAAGAGTTCGACAATCACTCTCAGATATTAAAAGTATTGATGTACTAAAAATTAATAGAAATTAAAACTACTTAAAGGTAAGTGAAAAAAGATACATGAAAAAAGCAGAGTAAATATATGATGATAATTATTTGATATAGTTCACAGTACACTATTCTATATATTCGAGAATTTTCTCAGATCATAACGTACTGACTTTCAATTTTAGTCTTAAAATAAATATTGTCAAAAGATACTGAACTATTGATAAAATTCGACTTTTGTTTAAAAAAAACAAAAACAAAACAAGATTTTCGAAATCATTTTTAGTGAATTGGATGGATACTATTCGATTTTATACTCTTTGAACTGTTAGTTTGTTACACAATTGTATCTGATGTAGTCCTGCAGTTATAATCCATCGTTACTATGCGCTACTATTGTTTGCTCAAATTTTGATGGAAATAGGCTCCGTTCAAAACTACAGAATATATGGATAGTTCTATCTTTTATCCTGCTGTGAGTACAATGATTAATCGGACAATAAAAAAACAAAAAACAGCATGTAAACGAGGTCATTAAACTATTCTTTTAGACATCTGCTTTTATTTGTCAAACGAAATTTTAAGGTTTTATATCGTCATCATAGGTTAAAAATAGCACGATAATCATTTTAATAGGAATGAGATGATGTAGATTTTTGATCAGAAGTATACAAAGAATAATTGAAAACAGAAAAGAAAGAAGGTATTATTGTTTTAGACTTTTATTTTTATTTTATTTAGAAGAATAAATGAATTAATGTCGTCGATTGAAACTGTAACAACAACATCTACATCATATGGTGATGGACGAAAATATTTTATATGTGCAGGATGTAATCAAATAATTAATGATCGTTATATGTTACAAGGTAAGAAGATGTAAATACTGAGTTTTTAAAATTTTTTTGACTTTTTATTTTTTTAACTATTTTCTAGCATTGGAGAAAATGTGGCATGAAGATTGTTTAAAATGTAAGTGACTATAATTTTTTTTTTTTTTGCAAATTTTTTCAAATCTCTCATAAGTAGCTCATCATTTTAGGCGCTTGCTGTGATTGTCGTCTTGGTGAAGTTGGATCAACATTATTTGTAAAAGCAAATTTAATATTATGTAAAAGAGGTAATGACCAGAAATGAAAATATTTTTATAGTCTTTTATGGTATGTTCGACAATACAGTCCTGTGTAAAATTATAGAAACGATTTCTGTTTAACGTTTTGTTGCTCGATCTTAATAGCTAAAACAAATCTGAAAAGTAAGTTTCAATCAGGAGCGATGTATATGCAAGTTTCATTCAGATTTACTGATATTGGATCTCTAGAAATAAATCAGACATCATTGAACTTTAAATTTTAATGACACTTGCATACACATCGCTCCTGATTGAAACTCTTCCAGTTATTGAAAGTTACTTTTCAGATTTGTTTTGGCTATTAAGATCGAGTAAAAAACGTTAAACACAAATTGTTTTTATAATTTTACACAGGAGGTCATATCACGAAAAAACTTAAGTCAAAGTCTAGACTTAAGTCAGACTTAAGTGTATAAAATTAGTACGTAGGTGCACATAACGAAGACTTAAATCTGACTTAAGTCAAACTTAAGTTTTTTTGTGATGCGGCCCCCGGGACTGATATTCGAGTATGCTAAATATTTTATCTTGGTGATTGAGACTTTTTTTGAGGAATTACAAGATATTTTGTGAACATGATCACTTGTACATCTGATAGAAATCTCCATTTTATATGAATAATTCAGCAATAGCATTGTAATTGTTTTCAAGACGTTCCACTCACCAATGATATTTCTCCATGATATTTCAAGAAAAAACTTGCTTTCTTTCTTCTTATCTTCAGATTATTTACGCCTATTTGGAATTCCTGGCTATTGTGCTGAATGTAAAAAATTGATACCAGCATTCGATATGGTGCGAGTTTTTAAAATATTTGAACAATTAATTTCATTTTCTTTTTTATTTTCTAGGTTATGCGTGTTAAAGATTTAGTATATCATCTCAATTGTTTTGCCTGTAATGAATGTCATCAAAGGTACGTATATCTCGAACTGATAATTTATTTTCATAACAGGATCGAATTAAACTTTAAAAATTTCTTTTTATTATAGATTTTGTGTTGGTGATCGATTTTTTCTTATTAATAATCAAATATTATGTGAAAATGATCATCATGAACGTACACAACAAAAATTGGCAACAACAACGTCAGTTACAACAACGAGTGAATTTGATCTTTTAGATGAAAGATGATGAGAATATTCGTTATTGTAGTGCGTCAGATAAATGTAGAATCAGACGAAAAAAAAAAGAAAAAAAACATCTGAAAATTGTCAGATTCAATATCTACGAATATTGAGTGTTTAAAATGATTTAGTCTCTTAGTTCATTTCATACGCTCACTTCTGATGCCGCCCGTTGATATTGTGCAAATCAATTAGGGATGAATCGAGAGAAAATCATGTAAAACTTTATTTTTATTTTTAGTTATATTAAATTGTATATAACACTTGTAAACAATTGTCTCTGTTTTGTGTTATTAAAATGTTATAAAATGTGTCATAAATAGGTAATTCCTACTACTTTACATAGCCTAAGGCACGACATTAAGACATTAAGATAATTAATTATGTTAAGCGTTCTTATATAAGTGAACTACTTCAATGGATCGAGATATTAAAACCGTAATATTTCTTACAATTGTTCTGAAGATACAGTAGTTAATGCTCTTTTGTAACCTTTGATACTTTTAAATCGTAATTTTATTCCCACAAATTATGTTTGTCTAAACGTTTCGATGCTTTCATCGTATCTACTGATGAAGATGCAAAGCATCGAAATGTTTAAACAAACATAATTTGTGAGAATAAAATTACGATTTAAAAGTATCAAAGGTTACAAAATGCAACATAATCGTACTAATAGCTTATATCAATTTAGTTAATGCTCGTTCTTTTTTATCTCGACAATATGTAATACGAATAGTAGATGTTGCACGCTTGATACTGGAACTAGAATTTATACATATGAAAAAGAAATTTTGTCAGTTGAAGTTTGTTTATGGAATAAAAAAACTGCAAAGAATTTTTCCGGACGAACATCAATAATAAAGAAAAACATCACGAACACACAGAAACAATGAACACGAGAAAAAAAAACGTAACAGTTAACGATTCTGCAATGTTTTGTAATACAATTAAAATGAGCGAATAACAAAGACCACTTGATGGAGATTAAACACATACAAGAGTAACAAAGCGAACAACCAACAGAAGAAGAACGTTTTGCTACTTTTTCACCGTAACGAAAATTGCCTAGAAATGTTTTTGTAAATGAGTAATTTTTCTTTTCTATCATTGTTTAACCACGCATATAGTATTGATTTTTACTTGACAATGATGATATTTGACTATTGAACTCAAAATTAATGCCAAATTCGAGCTTTTTCTAAAATAAAGAAAAACATTCTTCAACCTATCATTATTATTGACGTACTTACCGTATTTTCTAAATTCACTTTGCACATAAATTCTCCGTTAAGTTCTTCATCTTTTTTTATTGTTACATAATCAGGAAAGTAGAATACGGTTTGTTTCCAATGGGTATAGCCAGCTCCTGGAGCTAAAGAAAGATCCAGATATAACGATATATGAATTTCTCGATCTAATCCTTTCTCGTACCAGTTGAGATATGAGCTTTACTCGTTTGACATGCTGTAAATTCGGCCACAAAATAAGTCACAAATGCGTGAATATAATCATCACGAAATGCTCGTAATTTAAATGAAGATAATACATCAATATCTTCGATTCTCATTGTATTCAAATCTAATGTCTTACAAACATTAAAATAATAGCATTACCATTCGAAGAAAAGTCGATAGAATCCTCTTACCTTGATCGGACATGGTTCAGTAACAACTTGACGTTTATCAACAGTATCAACTAATGGTTCTCTCATTACATAATTTTTCAGACAACTCATATTATATCCATAAACATTTGACCACCCTAAAATTAACCATAATCACAAAAACGCTCTACAAAAAATGTTACTATAACAGTTGCTTACATTCTACTTTATCTTCTTTATAATCGCGATCTTCTATTCCTACTAAATACATGGTGGCACGATCAGGAAATATAATACCACCAGGTTTCTAAAGAAACTTTTAGTAATTATTAGAAATTGGACGGAAGATTACTCCGCCTTGCAGCTACCATTACGGGTGTAGGATAGTTCGTCTTACTAGCCCGATATCTTTCTTGTATCTGACATGACACTTACTAATCATTAACCACTTTATGCAGATAGACAGACTATATTCTGATGCAGAGTTCTTTCATCCAATTGTCTCAGCTCCTCACATACACTGACTATCCACATAATGACTCACTCATTCAGCAAAGACACAGAGACTAGCTGATCTGAGATACTAAGAGATGAAAAACTTATCGAAGGTTATTATGTGAGTTGACCACACCGAAATTCGAACACAGCACATTTAAGACTAATGCTTCGCAAGAAAAAATAATTATTCGAATAATCAAAAAAAATAAAAGGTGATCTCTCGTTGACATAATACGTATTGAATCTGAAGATAAAAAAATGAGTGATAGCTCAGAGAGTATATGTGAAATCGTCTTTATCAACATGATTTTCTAAATGACTTCTTTATCTATCATTCCTAAAGAAACGAAAATACTACGGCTTCATATGAGTGCGTCTCATTTGAGCGCATTCTCATTTAAGTGCATCTTATTTTAGCGCGTCTTATTTGGTGGTTTCTGCCAGTTCATTCACAGCTATGTACCCCTCTCCCTTCCCCTCTCTGTCAGTTGACCACACCAGTGCCAAGATATTTATGTTCTAATATCTAAACATTTTTGGAATATCTGGATATCTAAATTGTAGATATTCGAAAATCACACACGAACAGATTACTCACTCAAATCTGGTTTTGCATTATCTTTAAGAGCGTTAAGACGACCAACCAAATTCTCGACATTTCTATGAGAGTGATTCTTTTAGTATGCGTTCAACAGAACTCTTATAGCAGTGACCGCCTCTTTTTACACCGTGTAATGTTCTGTTTTGGATCAAGAAATATGGCTCCGGTTGAAATATCCGAAACAGGTTGTGGTAAACCATCAGTTCAATTTCAACGACATAGTTATAGACTTGAACGCCATAAAAAAGAATCGATCTCATGGAAATGTCAAGAGTTTGGTTGTCCTGGTCATCTTAACACTCTTAAAGATTATGCAAAACCAGATTTGGGTGAGTAATCCTAATTATTATGACAAAGAAGCTTAAATCTGTAAAACGCGCTTCTTCTTAAAGGAATCCCACATTCACACGGCCCAGAAAAACTTGTTGCTGATATGATAAAAAGGTGTCAGAATCAACTTCCATACGTTGCTTTTCAAGCATCCAATCAAGCTATCACTGGTCCGCAAATAGCAACAAGAGTATGTTGATGATGAAGCTGTTCAAAAATATTGTAAGCCAGATTATTTTTGAAATTAAAATAAAAGATTACTAGCCATTAAGAATTAATATTAAACAATGGTAGCAGAAACGGTTCAAAAGTTTCAAAATATTTTCAATAATGAGTGGTGTAATTGAAAATGCATTCAAATAAGCCGCACTCATATGTCAACGTTCCCGAAAATATCACTAGATTACAAGAATAAGTTTGTTTTACAACTGTTTCTTAGTTACAGAAAAGCTCAAGCCTTGGAAGCTCGAACTGGAACTTACCACGCATGCAGTCTTCGAGTCTTTCTATAACTTTTCTAGAGAAAAGGCAATTTATTGTAAAAATTTTCTATGAATCATGTGGGTTTATTCGTTAAAGAAAGAACTATAGACGTGGTAAGGTCGGTTCAATTTTTGAAGACTTGAACCTTCCTGTAACTAAAAAGCGGTTGTAAAACAAATTTATTCAGTACAAACAATCTCGAGTTGAAACATAAAACTCATTAGATTAAAAGAATATATCTGACTTCAAATATCAGCTAGATGTGCTCACCTTAAAACGCGAACAAAATTAATTACTCACTAGCCATTTATCTCTAGCATATATAACACTTTGTATCATTGAATCGTAGTATAAACAATAGCCCATCCATTCAGCAATTAAAATATCTACTTTTTGAATACCATCTGGTAGCTCAATTTCTTCAATTTTTCCTTTGACAAGTTTAATAACTAGAATTGAGAAAAGTGCACAAACACCATTTAGTCAACTAGTCGATGAAAAAGTGTTAAATCTGTTAATAAGTAAAAGTTGACTCTACTACTTTATAAAAATGAAACAAAGTACAGTGAAAAAGAGTTGTTTTCCTCCTAGTATGATTATTCATTTGTTTTCAGATTGAATCAATGAAATATTAGTCGCAAGATAGTTTGCGTTTGATTCAGTCTATATGAAACTCTGCTACCTACCTTTATCGAAACGATTTGCTCGAATAATTCTTTTAGCATATTCAATAACGTTGGATTTTTCAACCTAAAACAAAATGTTGTGTAAAGAAATGTTGAAAGTAATCGTTTAGCTTTTTATCGTACAGCAATCACTAATTTAGCACCGGCTTTAGCTGCAAACAATGCAAATATGCCCACACCACATCCAACATCTAATACAACTTTATCTTTGAATAAATGACGATTATTTATAATGGCATTACGAAACGTTTTTGTTCGAATTTCATCTTTTAACAATTCCTACAAAAATAAAACAGAAACAAATTAATCAAACACATTCAGGATCAATCTTGTATCTGGAGATGATGTACGTCAACCGGTTATTAATTTTTAAATTTGGTAATTAGTTGATTTAATGAGCAGGCGTGACTTTTCACTTACTTCATGAACGGCAAAATGTGCGGTTGAATCAAGATAATATTCTTTAGATGTCATGTCTTCAGGAGCCATTTTGTCCAAATCAACGTTACCATTCTAAATTCATTAAAACAACCTTTCAGAGAAGAAATACAACAACATCGTTTCAACCAGTTAATAAAGCCCGGCAACATAGAAAAGAATGAACTAGGCTCTCGTCTAATCGGCTATAGTGTGAAAAATGAGACCCTAATAGCGGTTATTTGAAACTTGAGAATGTTTCATTTTAATAGTTTAAATGAAAAACAAAACTTGATGTTCATACATTGCTATTGTGATTCATAATCTGTTTATCACATCCATTATTCGGATTCTGAGAAATATTCACAATTTTTGGTTCATAACATGCTGCCTTTCTTACTTGAGAATGAGAGTCAACAGATGTCTGAGATATATTCATGTTTGACGACGGTGACCGAGGCTGAGATGAATTGGTCTGTGAATTACTCATCTAAAACCAATAATAAGTAATTAAAAGTAGAACACATTTTACAGCAAGATCTCATAACTCTGTTACCGAAGTAAGTGAGTTACCGTTTGTCCTTTGTGTTTGTCTTATTATATTGAAAGGAAACATTGTGGAATGTAGAGAGATGTCTTGTTTTTGTAGCTGAAAGTGTGCTCTTCAAAATCTACCTTGAGATCAGCTCGATTTAGCCAAGCTGGCATTGCGCTACAATCAAAATATCAACATTCCCAAAACAACTGATGTTAATTCTGAGCTTACTGCATTTTGATTATAATGTCAAGAAGATCAAGAAAATGGAGCTGATTTCAGAGTAGATTTTGAAGAGCACACTTTCAGCTACTAAAACAAGACATCTCTTCGCATTCCACAATGTTCCCTTTCAGTATAATAACACACAAAAAGAACAAAAATGGTAACTCACTCATACTTCGACAGGAGAGTTATGAGATCTAGCCGCTTCGCGGAAAACAGCACCTATGCAGTAAAAAAAGCTAAAACAACGATATGTCAAAGTGACTAATTCTAATATTTGAAAAGATAAGCAATATTGAGCTACCGAGTATACTGCATAAGATTAAGAGAGCAGAAGTATGAAAAATCAAAGACTACGATGACGGAAGATTACTGGAACTAATTCGGCTACACGTTAGTTAAATTTAGTTATGTATTCAGTAATAAATAACTTTGGGATAAATGTTTCTTATCACGATTTAAAGTAAACGTACAAATTCTACAGAAAGCGTTTAAAACAAATAATAAAATAAAAATCTGTTTGCTTGTTTTTATAAATGACTGACAAACTCCAGAAAAATCGCCGATATCAGCGCAATTTATTAGAACGTCAAGTTAAAAACGTCGTGGGCTGGTCGGAAGACTTCTTTTCGTAGGAGCAAAAAAATGTTACAGTCAACGGGAAAAGTGTAACATTATGATATTTCGGAAAAACTGTGACGGCAAAAGTTAACGGTGAAAACATTCAATGTAAGATTTTTCAGATAAAGGCGTTGAAATCAACGACAGAAATGTAACACTAGAAAAAAATCGTGTTTTTATGTGATTTTGTCCCGGATTTTACACGACTTTTTTGGCAGATCGAATTTTTGCGATTGACGAGTTACTGTACCAATCTTAGAGATGATAAAACGACTCCCACACGTTTTTAACAAATATCAATAGATATGTTCAGTCTACTATGTATTCTGTAAGTATAATCGTCTACTAAACTAAAAACACCAACATTTGTACTATGAAATACTCGTTATTACAATTTAGCGTAATTTAGCGACATCTCTCTGTGGTATTTGTAAGGTGCCGGTAACCCAAAGGTCACGTGAAGATTTTTTCGTTTTTTATTAACTGGTTTGATATAGCTCGTCGATTTACATAGGAAAACATCGATTTTAGTCTCTAAAAACAATTTTCTGTGAAAAAAATTGAAAGATTTAACACTAGAACGCCCGCCCGTAGCAGTCATTTTGACCGTTTTGTGATTTTTATCCTTAATAAAACAAACTGCATATAATTTATTTAAAAATAACTTATGGCATAACTTTTAATTTGTCCCACAAAAATTATTTTTTGTAGAATTTTTAATTCATTTTTGAATTCAGGACCATTTTTAAGTATAAAATTTAAAAAAAAAACAGTAACGGTCAAAATGACCGCTTTGGGCGTTCTAGTGTTAAACTACGTCAAAAAACATAAAACTTTAAAAAACGCAAACTTCCATGTTTCTTGTGGAAACATCAAAAGTGGTAAAATCGTCACGCCGATCTTGCAAACCTACCTGATTTTTTGATGATGTACTTTTATATTCTACCTGAGCACTTTTGTTTTTTGTGAGCACTTTGTTCATGAACAATTAGTGGGATTTTCACCAAAAACTGACAGGGAACGAAAAAAGTTTGAAATATATATCATTTAGCTTAGTATTTGACGCTGATTTTGAATGTGATATTTTTGTTGGATAAAAGCTGAGTTGTGATGGAGAAAATTGAGAATTATGAGTAGAATTCACTCTTTCGCTCCTGATTTAAAAAGAATGAATTTTCTCAGCAATAAAGCAATATCAAATCAAACGCATGCATAATTTTATCCCATGGATATAATAATTCGAATCATGCAAAAAAACAAAATTGTACTCCTCAACCAAAAAACTAGATAGGTTTACAAGATGGGTATGACGATTTTTCCACGTCCGCTCGAGTTTCGCTTCTTCAATGATCATTTACATTTTTATAGTTGCCAAATGTGGTTTTCTATACCTAATTTTGTGCGAGGAATCTGAATAAAACGCTCGAGACGCCTAAAAAGAACGAGAAACATGGTTTTGCGTTTTTTTAAAGTTTTAGGCTGTTTGACGTAGTTTAAATCTTTTAATTTTTTCACAGAAAATGTTTTTTAGAGACTAAAATCGATGTTTTCCTATGTAACTCGCCGTGCTCTCTATCCAATCAGATTAAAGAAAAATGAAAAAAAGTTTTCACATGATTTTTGGATTACCTGTATGTTATCTTGTAAGAAGAAAACACTGCAAGAGGTCTTTGCGCTCGATTACTAATCGAGAAATATATTTTATTTTTTCTGTTTGCCTATTCCATTCACTGTTCGCCGTAAAAATCTTTGGTAACGTACCACCCACGTTCAGTGGCGGGCCTCCATTGTGGCAAAGTGTGGCAGTTGCCACACCAAAAACTTTTATTCATTATGGGTTTTCCTGTACCACTATTTTTTTTAGAAGTTTCTTACACTTTTTAATAATTTTGCCACACCAAAAAAACTGCCCCTGGCCCGCCGGCGCTCACGTTCGCGTCGATTTTATGTCATCGTTCAATACACTCTAAAAAAAATCCGACTTATTCTATCCGTCTTACTCCTGTATTGGTCTAACTTTTTTTCTTCCGTCTCATGTGAAGACAGACGAATTTATCAGTCTTATTTGTAAGACCGAAAAAAGGGGTCTTATTTTTATCGTCTAAAGGATGAGGAATCATTCACCTCTTTTGTTTCGTATTCACTACTTGTATATAAAGGGCAGAAAACTTAATGAAAATTCACTAGGAATTTTTCCATTTTTCTCTTATAGAATAGTGACAATAGCTAGACCGAAAATACTGGTCCATTCTCATGAGATTAGATCATGCATGATCTAATTTTAAAATTCGAAATGTTATAGAAAATAAGACAGATAAATTTGTTGGTCTTTTTTATTAATCAAATTAAATGATAAAGAACAGTACATGGGTCTTAAATTAAGACCCATGTATGCGACTAATCGTCAACCGACTAATGGTGTCTTATTTTAAGGCGCATTTTTTTTTAGAGTGTAGCTTCAAGACTAGTACAACTTAAGCTCTTGCTGGCGAATATTACGTTAGAAAATTTTAAAACAACTGCACGGTGGCCTCTCTCACCTGCGGGAAGTGGTATTTTCCAGCTGAACAGATCTTTTGCGGGTATAGCCATCATTTTTCAATGGAACATTTTTTTTTGAATTGCTGAATTGCCAGATTAGAATCTGTATATATAGGAACTACAAAAGTCTCTAGAAGACAGAAAATTTCAAAATATTAGAGAGTATCAACTCACTAAGATTTAAAAGCATTGACGCTAGAAAAAAGTCAATTTCTAAAGACCATTTTCCACGTTTTTCAAAGTCTGAGGCATGTTGCGCCATTCCACTGGATTTCGAAGCGTGAGACGACATGCATTTCTCATGTACTCGACATGAGCTATCACCCAAAACAGGTTTTTGTAGTCCCTATGTATACAGATTCTAAATTCGCCATCAGTAGCTTAAGTTTACTAGTCTTGAAGGTATCGAACGATTGGCACAAAGTCGATGTAAAATCTGATGTACTTTCGAAAGAGTTACCTGACATGAAACTAACACATGATCAGTGAAACTTACACCGATTGTTTCAAATTAGTCTTGAGTATTTAATTTACGTTGGCAATATTCATTCACGATTAACATTTTACGAATAACATGTTGTTTTGAATGTCAAAAGTATCTATCTACTGTATACTCCATGCACAATGGGCATTTTTCTAATAGCAGACGGACATCAGAATCTTTTGCTTATAAATTATTTCTTCATCAATAATTATCATTGCTTAGTCACCTCTGATGCTTTTAAAGAAAAAATAAACGTTTACAGAAGTCGGTCTTGCTGGTACATGGGAAAAAATTTCGGTGAACCAGCAAACCAGTTTTCCAGATATTTTTTCGATCTAACATTTATTGTTTTACACATGATTCGATGTAAATCGACGCATTGATTTCAAATATGCTCTTATGTTTTCTTAAAAGTGCTTCTGGTTTGAGAAAAAGAGTTTTCATTTGAAGAACCAGAAGGTTTTGGAATACCAATAATTCAAATTAGGTAAATATGTGCATTTTCGCGCATTCGTACATGAAACAGGCAGCAACGCTGCTGGCGAGTTCGAATGTCATGGTAAAATCTGTTTTTTTACTCGTAAGATCCATATGTTCATGGGATCAGATCCATTTATTTCAATCGAATACTACCCAAAAAGTATCTGCGATTGTTTAACTTTAAACGTATTCATAAGGAATAATACAAAAATGTGCAATTCGGATCCTGTTTCTTGCCATGATTAATGCTTTCGACCTTTAAACGACAGAATAATTATTTGATCTTTTTTATTAATCAAATTAAATGATAAAGAACAGTACAGATAACACAAGTGAAGTTATACATTAAAGAATTCATAATAGAAAAAGATGTTTTATCTTATGTTATTCTTCTCTTTTCTTTTGCTTTTTTCGAGGAAGAGAAAGTTATAGAATACAAAGTCAATTAGCAGCATCAACGACGTCATCTACTGAAGTTGAGTTTCGCATTTTTAGGCTTTAGTACAAAATTGGCACAGATTGGAAGTGTATAAATTCTTAACTATTTTTTGCCAAGAAAGTTGTAGACATACGTCTCATTTTAGTCACAAAGCTTTGTAACAGTATACCGAGTCCGTTTGGTAATATCAGCTTAACATTATCTTCATAAATAAAAATTTTGAGAAACATAAACTTTAGTTGACAATCTATACGTCACAATTCAGATCAACTCATATATGCTTCTTAATTTTGAGCTCTTATGAATGCTTTGTTTAACACATGCCATATTATCATCCTCTGTCATTATAACGATTTTTGATGATATAGAAAACATGTAATATCAAGTATTTGACCTTAAAAACGGTACAATGAACAATCTCATACCTATCCTGTTCATTAGAACAATTGAACAAGGTAAAAGAGACTCTTTCTCATACAGCATGACAACAAAATAGTTTTAAACAAATGTTTAATATTTCTCTGGTTGAAGGTTAAGGTCAGAGGAAAAGAAAAGCTTGCTAACATAAACACCAGTAAACGTTCTTCTATTAGTACTATTAATGAGACTGCATACTATTCTACACAAATACTACTATCGTTACAGTATTTAAATACTAGTTTATAAACATTATCTTTCTATTTCTTTTTTAAAAAAATAATTTCAACATACGTCTCATTTTCTTACAAGCTGACTCAACTTTTAATGATATGAAATAGTAATAGTTTCCGTTATTACTGTCACTCAAATTACTTATTAATTAGACTTAAATAAGCATAGAATTTAACGGAAGTAGAGATGGATTGAATATAGTTACAACCCAAATTTTGTATGATATAAAAAGCATTCTTATTGTTCTTTTAACTTGATAACGTCCCACTGTGCATCAACCTAATCTGTTAGGTTGGACTGTGTGTAATCATAGTGTTCTGAATCCTTGTTTTTATTGTCTGCATGTCCAAGCTAAATATTTTGTTAAGCAGCTTGATATAATATTAAAATACATAGCTGTAATGAATAAATCGGAGAAATGTACGACCATTACTTTGTGAGTTACAACGGAAAAAAGTGTTTTGGGTTAGGTTGCGCTGCCAGTTATGTTTTCGTTGAGGACTCAAACCCCAATGCTCTAATATTCTAGATTAGAATACAACCAATGTACTTCGAAGGAACTGATAAACAAGGCTAACTGATACTTCTGCGAAATTTTGTATAACATAGTAAAGAACAACATACAAGAGATTATGCAATTCGACAGGAAGGAAAAAAAAAGCTAACAAGGAAGACCTTGTGTGTTTATTAAAAGAATAAAAATTTCTATGAAAAAAACAATCGTCCTTGGATATTATCTCAAACAGTACATAGAAAAAAACGGATTTTTTTAGAAAACTGCTAGTTTTCCATCACATTGTTCGTTTTCTCTTGAATAAGGCAGTTAATCATTAAATTTTTATTATTCCACCCTAAACGCGTATTAATTTAAAATGATAAGATGTAATTGCCAATTTTCATTTATTATTTCTTTTTACCAAAAAAAGAAACTACAAGAATATATGCCAATTTTTACGCAAAACAATGATAAACATACACATCCATTGCACTGTGATGTTTTTTGTGAGAATGAAGAAGAAAATTGAAATTCTCTTATAAGAATCAAGTGAAGCAAAAAGAAATGAAGTAAAGCTAGTAAAGAAAGTGTAAGCGATTGTAAAATAAGATACGTGCGTGTAGATTACCCAATGATCATTAAAAACAAAAACGTAGTACAATGTCTCTGTAAGTGGAATGGTGTTAGTATTTTTCTGAACGTACACGTGTGGAGAAGGAATCACCGGTAGTTGATATGCACAGTTACTCATGAAAGTGTTTTCATGGAAGACAACAATAAGAAGAGGCAAAACTTACACCAAAAAGGAGATTTTCTTTAAAAGAATAGATGAGCAAACGTTTAAACAATTACCAGGGAAAAATGAGCTAAGACAGCCGGCAAGTTTGACAGGGACATAGAAGATGCCTAATTTGAAAAAAAAACTTTGATTGTAATAGAAAAAACCTTCGAGATTCTATAAAAAGACAAAAACTCATATGTTACGAACAATCAGAGATTCTGTTAGACGAATTGCAAAACATGATTACGAATTTTGCAAACAAAAAATATAACTGTACACGTTCTTTCGCTTAAGTGGGTTAACAATAGACTACAATAGAAACAAAAAAGAAAAAAAATTTTCTACACAATAACATACAATCTAGTCTAAATATTGAAGAAAAACAGAAAAATTGCACTTTTCAACGTTCATCATATGGAGTTAATTGTACAATTTCATAACTATCTTTATCTACATTAATTCTTAATTTTGATTTTTCTGTTTGTAAACCACAACAAAGAAAACAACTTAATAATGTTGTTAATAATGAGAGTCCAACAGCGCCAATCATAAGCCAAAAACTCAGATCTAAATATTCAATATTTACTAGCCATGAATTGAGAGCATATTTCATGGCATCGCGTTCATCTGTATAAGTAAAATCAGGACGATGCATACGTTCATGAATCCAATGATACATAAACAAACCTTAAATAAATAGAAAGAAACCATATGTACAAGAGTAAGATGAGAAAATAAGCAAGTTCGATCAAATAAGGATACTCTGGTATCTATAATTACATTGATAAATCTTTTATCACTTAAAAATTACTTACCTAATCCTCCACATCCAGCCAAAAATGAAAAAAATGCGAAAAAACTGACTAATGCAAATGGTACACTAATGAAACGATCGACACATTTAATAAGTGCAAGTGTTAATAACGATAAGCAAATGAGAAGTGCAGCAGAACAAAATAAAATAACCATAACAATATAACGAATACGGCTATGACGAAGATGAACAATAATTGAACGATGATTTGGATTATTTTTTAATGATTGAGCGTCGATCGATGACGATAATGAACGAAATACACTTTGTTGATGCCATATACAATTTTTTTCCGGCCAGTAATATTTCGACGCATTATGATGACGAACACAATTTTTTTCATCAAAAAAATCTGGACATTCAGGAATATTATTGCATGGAATGAACTAAAATAAAATAAAATGATGAACGTTTACTGAATTTTTAGTTTTCTATACGACTTACACAACATCCTGTTGTCTGACATTTATATGCTGCATCACACGATTCATTACACCATGTTGTTGATTTTCGTTGTGTATTCATATTCACTAAATCTTGTTTCTCTGGTTGTTGTTTTAATGTTAATAAATTTAACCATTTATAATCGAGACAATATCCCAGAAGACCGTAATATGTACGAAATGAATGTGGTACAACCTGATATTCTAAACTATCATCATTGTATATTGTTTGATTATGTTGACGCATCAGATCATAATTTACACGACTCCATCGTGTGCTCAATATACCATAAGAATAGAGAGCTAATGCACTTAGAGCAGGAAGAATTATAAATATACAAAAAACATTCAATTTCATTCTTCGTTGATGAAAGAAATATAAAATGAGAAAAGTCTGAAAGATAAAATGACAACAGATAATAAGACAGAAAATTGTATTGTCTCTTATTATAACAAGAAAAAACATAAACATACCACGTATAACTGACTATATAAGCAATTCCTCCCCTGTCAATCTTCTTTTATATACGATCGCACAAAAACAAAATGAAAGATAATAGAATTATTACTGGAGTTCCAGATAATAACGTTGATCTACAGTGTATCAAGTCTAGATTTTTCGCTGTTGGAATTAAAACTCATCTCTTGTATTTTCATGCTGTTTATCTCAAGTTCACGATGACTTTTTATTAGAGAAATGTAACAAAGTTTTTTCAAGTGAATTTCTCTACCTCTGCATTATCTACAACCAGAACAAACTAATCACTTAGTTGTGACAAACTAATCTCCTACAACTTTCCTCATAATCAATTAAGCTTATCAAGTATATCATAAAACTCTCGCAAAGTAAACAAACAGATTGTTTACAGTATTTCTACCTGCTGTTAAATGATATAATCAATTTATCATTTTTTTTACCATACAGAAAAAGAAAAGAGTACAAAAACTGTCCAAATATGCAGAAGAGCAGTATAAACATTATCGTCTTCTCTATCGTTTTTTTTTCTCAGCATAATAGTTTTTTCTATCTTGCTTTTCATTGTATGGTCCATTAATAAAATATGCGGTTGGCAATAAAAGAAGAGCACAAAAAGATACGAGAAAGAATGGAAAAGATCAAAATAATATGAGGTATAGAAACACATTTTTTACTATAATTCATTAAGTAAAAATCCAAATTCTATCACAATGATGAAATACGGATTAAAAAATGACTAGTACTAAAAAAACTCAGAAAAGCTTTAAAACTTGGTTAAAAAGATGATTCAGTAAATAGTGAATGTTCGTATGTTGCGATCGTATTTTTTTTTGCTCTTTATTTCTTTTTTCTTTCTTATTCAATTTGAGCTGTGGTTTTTTTTCTTGTGATTTACTACATTTTTTCGTACTATTTTTTCCTCTTTTTCAACGTGTTCTCTCTCTATGTTCTACCATCATTTTCATTCACTTTTTATACCATGCGTATGTTTAATACACACATACACGAACAATTTTCAATACTTTTGAACATAAAAAAACGTTATCGTGTAAGAACCATCAATATTTCAAGTGGTATAAACAAATAAACAATTTCATAGTATAAACAAAAGTGAAAAGACATAATTTCTTTACAGAGTATCATAATACCGAACATATTACACAAGAAGTTCTGTCTTAAAAGTTCGAACAAATAGTTACTCACTAAACCGAGCACGTTGCGGACAAGAGAAGCGTCTTATTACATCAACTCTAAGATTATCAAAACAAAGTTCTGCCGAATTATTTACTTTTCAATGACTATATAGAACAAGACTTTTACGATTTAAATAGGAATTTAGTAATAAAAAGTTGAGAGGTAGGTTCATTGTTCATTTCTCTAAGACTATATGATTACACTGTAATTGGACATATACAACAAACATTACATAGCCACATGAACACAACCCCAATAAACCCTTTATTTAAATCAATTTGTTTTACTTTTGTACACCTTTTTTGGTTTTAGCTTAAAATTCTGCTTAGAATTATTATCACTCCATTTTTGTTAGTACCCTCTATTCTAGTAGGAATACCACTGATGCATTTTATAATTTTCTTCGATGATTCATTTGCTCAATATAAAAAATAGGCATATAAAATAATCAGGGACGCCCCGATACCTCGGAGACAGGGAGGGAGAAGACAATTTCGGAGGAAATTTTTATGCTTTTAAAAATTGGAGTAAAACTAAAAAAAAAGATAAATATTCTAAGTATTTTTCTTCTAAAGCAAGACCAAATTTCCTTCTGTCTAACTCTATTTACTTCAACACAAAGCCTTATAATATAAAAACATCGTATAATATAAAAATACATTTAATGAAGCCAAGATACAGTCTATTCTACTTATCTTATCTTATTTATATACATGACAGAAATTTTATTTTCTACCAAAAACAGAAAGAGAAAAACAAATGTTTTACTCTAAAAATGGAAGTCTATGTCTTACTCCGAAAATAGAAGTAGATATCTTACTTTTGAAAAGGCAGTAAATTCCTAACTACGAATCTGAGAGTAAGCCTTTTACTCTCAAAATGGGAATAAATATCTTATTCCAAACTTGAGAGTAAACGTCTTACTCTGGAAATAAGTGCTTTACTTGGAAACTGAGAGTAAGCCTTTTGTACTCTAAAAATGAGAGTAACTGTCTTACTGTGAAAATACGAGTAAACGCTTTACTCTGTGGGATATTCTCGTAAGTCAAAGACCTAATTTTCGGAGTAAAGTTTTTCAAAAAGCAGGAGAATCCCTTTTCTGCCCTCCCTTATCGGGCGCCCGTGAAAATAGCTGGCGGGAAAATGACGTTTATTTCATACACTCTTTTTGGTTTTTAAGTATAAGTCCTAAATACTTATGACCGAGCCCGAAGTCTATTCAAGTCCGATAATGGTTTAGATTCTTTTTCACACAGACAACGGTTATTAGGATACACTAGGACTAATAATGAGATGGTCCCTAAAAAAGGGTCCAAATGTAAAGTAAATTTTTCATTGATCGATTAGACCAATCAGGTCCGATATTAAATATGATTGGTCTAATTGACTAATGAAAACTTTACTTTACAGTTGGACCTTTTTTAGGGACCACCAGAACTTAGCATCGCTAGGACTATCTGAGAGTGAAAATTTCTATCGTCCATTATAGACTTGTCCCTCTGAGATGAATAAATGTGATCAGGAAAATAAAAGATACTTAATCCACTTCTTGTCGTGAGTGTCCGTTAGATACTATATATAATATGGACACTGATTTTTTGGCGTCTCTCGTTTAAGATGAGAATAAGACAATCACACACGTGTTTATTATATAACTTATACTACAAGAAATATAAACTATTTTCGATGTAAAAGCAGAGTTTAATTCTCATGTTAGAGAAGAAATACGAAAAATTTCTCTCGTTCTGATCACTTCAAAGAAAAAAGAAATCACTGACTACATTCACCAAGCAAATTTTGTCGTCACACTTGTTATGTATTCCGTTCTCACACAACACAAACCAAGCTTGTTGAATTCTGAATCCAAAATGTGTCTAATATACTTAGTTTAATGAAGTAATTTTAGCAGTTAGATAAATTTTGTGCTAAGCATTGTCTGAGAAATCCACTTTAATTGGCGGTAAGTATTAGAATATGAGTAGTGGATTGTACTTTACTTATTTTTCTAGATATAAGTCATACTGTTGAGATTAATAAAACTTCTTTCCATAAATGAAAATTTTAAGGTGGATATATTCTGTGATCTCAACAATGGGTTTTTGGTAGTATTAGATATTGGTACAAAACAATGCGTTTTGGTACGGATCGTTATCGGAATGCACAGACTTTGTTGATTCCAATGTATCAGTTTGTATGCATATGCGCGTGATCCCTTGAACTTCTTATGGAGCTAGTCAAAAGATACAACTCACTGCCCTCAGACTGCGCCTACAAGAGCAATATTCTTAACATGCTGGCTCTACCTCATATAATGTGAGGGACAAGAACACCACAACACCGAACAGAAGAAACAACAGAAAGAGGAGTACTATGATCAAAAATAGGCATCCATAAATTTTATCCGTAAATCTCTACTATCAACGTGAACTTCGAAAATTTTACAGCGATAGTAGAGATTTATGGATAAAACTTATGGATGCCTAGTTTTGCCGGAGTACTATTAAAGTGCAACTGCTTATAAACGAACAATGAGAGATTAGAAGAAAAAGAAAGCCAAGAACATTTGGATATATTTAAAGACATGAGATTAACAGCAGACCAATTTGAAACAGAATTTATACAGTTTTGGACATGAGAAAAATCGAGAGAACCGGAGATTGAGATAGTAACGATCAAAAATCCAACGCTGATAAAGCGACAGATTTCCTAATTCAGAGGAAAGAGCGGAGAAAGATGATTAATAAAAATATGAAACAGAAGAACTGCTGTCATTGACAGCAATTTCATATTTTTATATTTGTGAGATTTATGATAGATGACAGCCTGTCATCTATCGTTGGTAGTATATTCGTTTATATTTCAACCAATGGTTGTT